GGATGGGTTAGCCTGGTGATGGGTATTAAAGAGGGCACATTCTGTGTGGAGCACTGGGTGTTATGCACAAACAATGAATCATGGAACACTACATCCAAAACTAATGATGTAATGTATGGTGATTAACATAACAATAAAAAATTTAAAGGAAAAAATAAAACTCAAAAAAAAAAAGTGTTTGCAGAAGGGAGAGAGGAAGGAAGGAAAAAGACGAATCCCTGCCTCACAGAGATGTTTGGTGAAGTTAAACAGCGTGTATAAATTTCCCATCCCAGCGCCTGGCACATAAGGGGAATTCATTATTCATTCCCTTCCCTACTCTGGCCTACAGTGCAAAAGTTATCTGGGAAACATAGCACATGCAAGCATCATGAGTGGATATACATTCACTTACAGGATTAATTCACATACCAAAGCCTAAAGGAATGGGACCAGAGCAAGAAAGTTAATGTGAGGATCAAGGAGGGCCCTTAAAGTTTCATGACTTGGTGTTCCTATAAGGAAAGGCACTAAGGTAGTAGTGGCGATAGGAGGAGGAGAGGTGGGGGTGATGAGATTGTGAGACAAGCAGAAGGTGGAAAGTCCTATAGTGAGCCTTTGGGATGGAAAGGCAGAAAGCAGGAGGACGGCCTCATCTACGCCGCCTGCAGGACAGATGAAGTAGTGGCAGACCAACGGCGCTGGTAGACTCTACCGGTCCCCAAACTAAACAGATGGCCTTGGGATTCTTGCTCCATTATCAAAAGACCAACCTAAGAGCCGTTTTCTTCTTTGAGTAAAACAACAAAACCTGTCTGCTTTGAGAGTTTAGTTCCTGGGAAATAAATTTTAAAATACTCATTTAACTGAAGATAATATTTTTCATGTCTTTTTCCAAAGGAAGTTAGCTGCAGATTCTTCCAAGTGACTTTCTATTATTTGAAAATAAACAGCTTAGATCTAACCCAGTTAACAGTGTTGGAAAAGGGAATGTACTCTGCAAGTTGTCCATAGCATTGCTGGATAGGGAGGGCTGAAATGGAAACAGTGAAATAAAAGCATCAAGAATATTCCCTTTATCGCTGGAAGATTGGCACGACAAGATGAATGTGTGATTGATACCATTACTCTCTTTCTCTCACTGAAGATGGTTATAAGAAACCCAAATATAAGTTGAAGTTAGGGCTTAAAATATACTCAAATCTAAAGTATTATGTTTACTGAATATGCGTTAAAAATGAGAACCGATGGGCTTTCTGAATGCACACACACACACACACACAGAATAATGTTAAAATATTACACAAAAATGGTATATTCATGCCAATTATGACAAAAATATTTTATATCATTGATAAAATCAGAAGAAAATCTGAGGCAATGCTGTAGTTGACTTAGTGCTCATTGAGTTTCTGATGCTCTTTACAAATTGGGGAAATTTTTCTTGGTAAATATTAAGTCTTTCCACTTATGTACATTTAAGGTACATTTAAGATGAGTTTCCTGAGAACATAAATGCTCAAGAGGAATAAGCAGGAGTTGATGAGGGAAATCTTAATTTGCATCTTCCCTGCCTTAAATGCCTGAAATATCTTGGGTATAATGTTGCATGAATAAGGCTTTTAGTGTTTAATGTGATATGACTTAAACATTCTCTTTTTGCTAGAGTCTATAAAACCTTTGCTATTAATGGCCATTACTTCTCATTTTTATCTACCAAATTTACTAAGGAAGAAAAAGTATGTAAAGGCTTCCATTTGTCTGCTCAAATCTTTTCTATTATCTGGTAATAAACTTCAGTTCTCTTAAACCTGGGACGATCCACTTGGCAGGGGACTCTAGGTGGTCCTTCCAAGCATGATCCTTTACATAGTGTAGGGCTTCTACTTGTCAACCTGCTCTTCTTGCTGTCCTTAGATCCTCCCAACATTCCTGTTGAAGTAGATAGAGTAATATTCGACAGCCATCAGAGATCTCAAAACTGACACATTGGTAAAGCTCCATCTTCTCTGCTTTTGCACAGCTAGGAAGAGTGAAACTTCACCATAACACCATAAGTGAAGTCTAAAGCACTTACCCAGGGAAACACAGATTTGTATTATTTCAGGGTTAATCGAGTGACCGGGAGAAACCTATGCAACCTAACTTCCTGGGCCTTCCAGAGCTCCAACTGTGGGATACAGACCCACCCTGGTCCCCGCTGTGATTCAGCATCAGCTACCATCTGCTCCAGCTTAAATCCTGGAGGGGATGATTCCAGGACTGATGGGGGCTTTTTTGAGAGCAGCACGAAGTCCCAGAGTCTCCCAGGTATTTGAGATCCATTTCTTCAGATGGATCCAGAGACTGAATTGAGAGACCCCACTTCCCAAGACGAGGTTGCTGGCCATTTCCTCGCCTGTCCTACCCCTCCCTCCACATCTGTTCTTCCCCAGCTGAGAAGATAAACACTTTATCAGCCACCTCTGACTGAGAATGGTGCTGGATGGGATATGGAAACCACTTCCCATGTGTCATATCCAGATTGTGGAGTTTCACTGTATTGGTAGAGCCAGACACAGAAGTCAGAGCTCCTGGGTTTCTAAAGTAAAGCTTTTTCCTACTTTGCCGGCACCCCCTCTGTTATGGCTCCAGGCTGCAGAGAGCATCAGACATGCCTCCCTGTGCCGGCAGCGTTTCTGTCTAATTCCCTGGGAAAGGCAGAGCTGACGGCCCAGAATCAGAAGGCTAGTTCCCTGCCAGTTCCCCAAATCTGGGGTGGTTATTATGCAGATGACTGAGAAAAAGGACAGAGAGTGGTATCCAGGAGTGTTGTATCCTTCTTTTAACTTCCAACGTGTCCTACAGGCTGCTAGCTTACTTAACACAGCGCATGAATTCTGTCTACATCTCACAAGCCACTTGCTTATTCACTATCTCCGTTTAACACGTCTTACGAATTTCATCCATTGTGTTTGTTTTTCTTGTCTTCACTGGAAGAATTGAATATTCTCAAATCCTACACCAAACACACTTTGAAAGCAGAAAGACCTAGAGAAAAAATAAGATAAAAAAAACAAAACAAAAAAACAACCAGAGAAAACATTTGATTTATGGTGGCAGCAGAAACAGAAACCAAAACAGAGAGTATCTGACTCACAATAATGGCGGAGTTTTGAGCAGAAAGTGATGGATGCCTCCTGCTAAGGGGGTGACAAAGTGCCAGTCACTGGGACTGCATGGTGCTTTACGATTCATCAGGAGCCTCCTTTCCATGACCTTGTCTCTGCTCCTTTGATGGAGATAAATCATAATTTTACATTAGTATTATATAATTAATACATAATTATGATAATTATTAGTGATAATACACCATTGTTGTTGCTAGTTAACATGGTCAATCCCAAGAAGCCATCCTTCCCAGTCACCTCTCTTCCACTTCCAGCCTCCCTTGTGCTGGAAATCACACTTGGGACAAGAATAAGGATGGGGCCCTCACCCACTTCCCCCACATCCACTCCCAGCACTTGGCAACCACCTTTCTACTTTCTGTTTCTATGAGTTTGACAGCTCTAAATACCTTACATACGTGGAATCATATAGTATTTATCTTTTTTGTGAAACTGGCTTACTTCACTTAGCATAATGCCCGTAAGTTTCACCAATGTTATAGCATGGGTCAGAATCTCCTTCTTCTTAAATGCTGAATAGTATTCCATTGTATGTATACACCACAATTTGTGTATTGAACCTCAAATTTAACTGGGCATCCTCTATTTTTATCTGCTAAGTTTGGCAACCCTATTCTGAACACATCAGTCTAGATAAGCTTTTTCTAGAAATTAGACCAGAGTAGAGGTTGATTCCAGAAGGTATTTATAAAAGGAAAAATAAGGGGACATGGCTGACATTATTTTTCTGCTGTGATTTTGCATAAACCATAGAAATGAGGTTCAAAAGAATCCTGGTTTTGTCAACACTCTGCGTCAGGAGTTCTTGAACTGGAAGTCTGTGCTAGAGACGCAGGGGGTCTGTGAACCCCTTGAAATCATAGGCCACATAGAGTATATGTGCATCTTTGGGAGTAAAGGAGCCCTAATTAGATTCTCAGAGGTGCCTGAGACTCCTAAGGAGGTCAGGAGACACTGTCTTATTGACTGAGGGCATAGCTTTGAACTCAGCGATGGCATTTTTGCTGGGGGCTTGGGTGTTATTACCCTTTAGACAGTTGATTTCCTGAATATCTAAACCAAAATATGGAGAAAATCCCAGCACATTTAAAAAAGTGGAAAGTTTACCCATCTACTGAAGCATCCCTTTCAAATGAGGGATGAGTATAAGCTGCCATGCATTTCACATCTTTCACAGAAGCTGAATGGAAGCCAGTTCATGAATGATGCTGATCTTTGTGAGGTTTCTGATGACAGGCATATGCTTCATATATGTCAAAGTCCCTTAAAGAGAGAGATTAAGAAAAAGAGAGTGAGAAAAATAGAGAACAATGCCTAGGCAATGAATAATCTTACTACCTGTAAAAAACAGATGACCGTTTTTATAATCACCACTTTATTTTTTCTTTAGAAATCCTTCATCAATTTACCAATAGCTCTTACCAATGAGCTCGACTGGCCCCAACTCTCTGGTGCTACTGGGTTTTTGGACTCCATTAATGGGTATGTATGTTTGAGTATCTTTAAACATTTCAGTGTATCTATGTAAGGAAAGAACAAGAGATGGGGCTTGCTTCCAAGATATTGAAATGGGAATTATTAGGAATTGCTTGTCGAACATGAGTAACATACAAGAAATCCATCACTGACATAGAGTCCACTACGCAGTGGGATGTAATGCAAATTGTATTTTATCAGTGCAAGCAAGGAGGGAGTATTTGGCTCTAGAGTTGACCTCTAATGGAAAATGCATAAACCCATCACCGAATTTTTCTCATTCAAGGGATAAGGATGCTTATTGATTATTTACTCTCAGAAATTAATATTTATAAGGGTAATGGCTAAAATTAACAGGCAAGTTGCAAGGTCCTGAAATCACCCTGGCTTTAATGCTCTGGATTTGAAGGTAGAGACAATGTATGACAAATCTGAGTGACACACAAACCCAGTTTGCTGTGTGTGATTGGGTGTTGACTCAGAACGTGGGAACAAGCATTCATAGGTTAGCACCCCATTTTTTTAATTTAATAGGGGACATTGTGTATCATGAACAATTTATTTGATTATTATCTTATTATCTTCACTCATTCACCTAAAAATACCTATTAAATAATTACTACTTCATCAGGTACAGATGCTATAGATGTTTCAAAGGTAAATAGGACTTGACCTGTCTCTACAGCCAATTACAGTCGAGTAGGGCAGATAAGACAATGTACAAATAATGATAATAGAAGAGAGATGTGCCAAAAGACAATTCTCAACACAGAGCTACAGATTCATTGAAGAAATACTTCATAGAATTAATCAACAGCCACTTCTTTTGGGGGTGTTAGGCAAGGGCCAAACCCTAAAGGATTTACAAGATTGGGGTAATGAAAAAGGTAGAGAGGAAACTAGGAAAGGTAACCAACCTTAAGGAAGGGGTACTCATAATTATGTAGGAATCACCTGTGAATGTGGGGAAAGCAGAGGAGATGTACTTTCAAGTTTAGGTATAGGTTTTCAAGTTTAATCATGTGAAAAATTAGGTTAGTATAATAATACTAAGAGGATCAGTGATAGGGAGAGTAAGAAGTAACCTTCGTGAGGTATTTGCTACATACCAATCATGGTCCTGAGTGTTAAGTAGAGATTTTTCTCATTTCATCTCTTTGTGAGGGAGATGGCATTAACTTCTGCATTTCACAGTTAAGGAATCTAAGGGTTAAGTAGACAGGTTAAGAAACTTGACCAGAGTCCCATGTTAATAAGAAGTGGTGCTATCTGTCGTCATGGAACCTGGTGTCACGTTGTCCCAGAGAGTGATTTGGTGAGCAAGGGTCCTCCTAAACCCCAGCTCCCAACCTTTATGTGCTGTTTTCATTCCACCTATGGGCACGTGGCTCTCTGGAGTCTTTGTCACTTTGAGAGCATGGCTATGGGCTGGAGAAATGACTAAAAACTAGAGGAGCCCACCCTGGGGAGATGTGCTGTGTATCACCTCAAAGGTCGATCGGGGGCCCCTTGCTAGGGCGCCCATGCTCCCAGCGGTCTGGGGCCCCCTGCATGCCAGCCTCGGTCTCTCTCTCCTCAGCAGCACCTGCTATTGTCTTTGTCCCCTGGAACACATCTAAAGATGGCCGGTCTAGAGTGGCTTCCTGGAAAAAAGACTCTTGTTGATATCCCCACTGCCAACATTGGAATGGAGGAGATAATATTTAAGTGGCCTCCACAATCCAGCCATGTAAAAAATACCTGGAAGTTTCTCTAAATTAAGGCTTTTAGGACAATAACAAGAGGAATTTATTATGAGTGAGAAGTGGACATAGTTTATTATACTTTCAATGGAAGCTTAACTTTAAGTTGAACCCTGTAAAATTCAGCCACTTTTTGATCTAAAGCCTCACAAAGTTGCCATTGAGGAAATACCAGTCTAATGTTTAAAATTAATTGCAAAGTAGCTTAAATCTTCCCTGGAGTCAGGCAAAGAATGAAAGACGCCACTCAGCAGGCCCAGCTGAAGTGAAAACTCGTTTCCGCATTTCTTTCCACTTATAGCTCACATTCACCAACAGGTGCCCCACATTTCCTGCATCCAATTTTCCCCAAAACTCTACTCCAAAATAGCTCCTGCTCCCAAGCACACTGTTCAGTTGTTTTAGGGTTGTTGTGTTTTTTTGTTTTTCGGGAGTTTCTTTGGTGGGGTAGGAGGGGGGGTGGCAAGGGGAGCCTTCTTTGTCTCCTCTGTCCTCACTCCAGGAGTTTGCTCCCTTCTCAATGTGAAATCCCACTAGCCCTCCAGTCCCATAGCCATGTCCACCGCCATCCCATCAGAGTCCAGCAGGCAGCCAGATCTTTCTTAGGAGAAAGGCAGTGGGGAGAAAGAGAAAGGAAAGTTGCCAGTTTTCAGACACTCATGGGTTATAATCCTTATAAGGTTGTGCAGAGACATTCTGACACCATCTCACAAAGGAAGTGACTGTCTAGGTGCGTTTTATGTGAACATCACCCCCATCCTGAGCTAGTCTGTGCTGACTTTGCACCTTCTTGTGTGAGACTCTGTGTTGCCATTTATAAAAACTCAGTCTGCTTGGGCAGCCCCCTCAGTGTTAATTCTGAGTACGGTCCTTATCTGTTGTTTCTAAGGAGGTGCGCACCCCCACTGGTATGCTGTAGGATCACCTACCCTGCTGGAGGCTTTCTCTCTCTGTGTTTGTGACCCCAGGTTATCTAGTTGTCTCTTTTTGCCACCTGTTTCTGTATGCTATGCCTGTGTTCTCTGCCACCCAGCTGGAATGGGAAAAAATATATTCAGTTCCTTTTGATAGAAAAGGAAATTCTCTGTCTAGAATCTTGAGTTGCCGTGGACTCCCCCATTAGGCAGACACAGCAGCATGATACCCGTTGTGTGTCACCATTCAGGATGTGTGTCCCCCGCCCCCCCCCCACCCCCGCCCCTGCCCCCAGCAGGAGGTCCTGTTAAACTATCTCTATAATCTCATGCAAATTATACCTGCAGATAATCTACGCTGGCCCAATCTCCTTCTTAAAAGAATGAAGTTTTGTAAAGTGTATAAAAAATATTAAAGATAGAGTATGATGAAGATCCTCTTCTGGTTGAATTGGGCAAGTGAAAAAACTATTGACCCAGAGGCAGCATTTGTGAGCCATGTAGGCAGCTTCCACAGGCATTTTGAGCAAATGTCCTTTTGAGTCCAAATGCTTATCAGCACAGGATAGAGTGTATTGATTTCTCTGTTCACCTGGATCTCTAGAAAGTGCTTCCTATTATCTGTGATCAGCCTCATGCTTTGTGTATTAACAATGTTCTTTGGAAAATGTACCTTTGAAAGCAAAAGAATGCAGTTTGGGAGAGAAAATGGTTGCTTTCCTTTTCTTTTTCCAATATACCCTTCACCCTTCAAAATTTAGTATCTTTTTTATAAGATAAATATAACTAATTGAAATTATATGCATGCATTAAAAGACAAACACAACCCCTTACTTTTATAAATCTTTACATTCTGGGGTCCCTGGGTGGCTCAGTTGGTTAAGCATCCGACTCTTGATTTCAGCTCAGGTCATGAGCTCAGGGTCATGATATTGAGCCCTGCATTGGCTCCATGCTGAGCATGGAGCCTGCTTAAGATTCTCTCTCTCCCTCTCCCTCTGCCCCTCCCCCACTGCTAGTACATGTTCTCTCTCAAAAAAAAACAAAAACAAAAAAACCTACAAATCTTTATATCCTTCAGTTGAGTCTACATTAACAAAAATCTGTTCTCTTGACTCAGGGTCCAGAAAATTCAAAAAGCAATATCCTTTAAAACCACGTGGGTTTTTGTCGTTGTTGTTGTTGTTTTGTGTTTTTTTGTTTGTTTGTTTGTTTTCCCAATGTGATTCAGAAAGCAATTGAGTGATTCAAGGGCAAAAACAAAAAACAAAAAACCCACCTTGTGAGGCTGGTAGTTTGGAGGCTGGGAACCCAACAGTAACTAACACTGGGCAGGAGAACTATAACTGTGAGTGAGAAGAAAAAGGTATTTTTCTAAAGATTAAAAAGAGTACTTCATGTTCAGATCACCTTCAAAAGCAATTAATGTAAGAGAAAAATCCAATTTAAGGTAAAGAACCCAAGGCCCCGTAACACATGTGGAAATATGGGAAACAATACCAAAACTCAGGAAGGAAGGACTTCTAATTTACAAGCAATACTTGAAATTCCAGAGCCCTGTGAGTCAGTGTGATGAAGGAGGAGGAAGACTGTATTTACAGGTACAAGGTTCTGGTTCTGTATGGCCCTCAGTGGAATAGAGAGCATCCCTGGACCTCATTTATACGTTGAAGTTGAGTTGTACCTAGCCATCTCTGAAGTTCTCCCCAGTGTTCAAGTTTAGTGGCTACAGGGCAATGTGCTATTAAAGTCCACAACCTACCTCATGATGCTGCTTGGTTTAGAAGCACTGGAGGAAGCTGGTAGGAAAATATGCTCCTGCATCTCCCCACCAAATATGTTTTTCTCCACCCCTTAACTAGCTGTGCCTTCAGACAAGAAAGACCTGGCTAATTTAATGGGTCAGAGCCTGAGACATTTAGGAACCATGTTTCTCTAGGGCCAGCGTAGTTGTGCCATAAAGTCTGAACCCTTGCATAGTAAGCCCCGCACCGTGTGATACTGGGTGCTGGACCATCTATTTGTTACAGTGGCACTCCATAATTGTCCTTTATGGGTACTGTTTCCTCCAAGCAAACCTCAGAAAGGGAAACAAACCCTTAACAAAATAAACCTCAGAAACAAAACCTCAGAAAGGGAAACCAAACCCTTAACAAAAATAACCACTTGAACCCAACTGCATATAACATGAGCATTTATGGTTGTCCAATCCCCTTCTGAAAGGGGGGCCAGGGATGGTCCAGTCAGTAGAGTTCTGCAGGCTGGGGCTAAATGGTAGAGAAGTCCTTCAAAGCTGGAGGGCAGAGGGGACTGAGAGGAAAAACAGGGTAGCAAGCAGAGCTTTAAAAAA